GTGATGCGTGGTTGCGGCCGCCCGGCAGGCAAATGTCGTCCGCGGGTCGGCGTCGTGGCCGCAACCGCCTGCAAGATGCAAAGTCATGGCCCCAGCATTGGAGGTTCTGCTCCATAGCAATAAGCCGCGACGCGACCAGCACTGGATGGAGCCCAGGAGCGAGGCATGGATGCAGCGCTGCGCAGCTGCGGCCGCCGCACATCCACACCTGTGCGCTGAGGTCGCCAGGTGCGTCACAGCCTCGTGCTCCGCACCGCTGAAGAGGGCACGAACGCGCACCGGGCCCCTCCTAACTAGCGGCTGGACCACGCCTGCAAAACGAGGACAGGATGGTCAGGGGTCGAGTGCAGTGTGGCACCACATCTAGTTTGGTGTCTCCACCAAATGCGGGCCCCTCGATGCCCGGTGCGACATCAGATACTAATCTTGGCATTGCTAGTGCCCTCACCTCGCCGGTTGGGGCCTCGCAGGAGGGCCCCGGCTGCTGCGGGTGCCCGCGTCGCCAAAAGGCTGGCCATGTTTCCAGGTCGAGAGATGTGGTCGAAGAGGAGACAACCAATGCAAAGATACAATTGAACGCCTCGCGGGTTGAATCGGGATCGGGGCCTGGCCGTATTGACTTCAACCTGGCCCCCTGAATGGAAATGGCTCGCCAAGGGCGTAACAGGAGCGCTTGTTGTTGATTAAGAAACAATGGACACTGTCCTGTCCAGCAGATCTGGGTTGGGGCCATGTGGTTGCACCTGCTGGGGACGCACGCCAGACCACCTCCAGTGTCAGCAACATGGACCCACCATGGTATGGGTGTGTATGCACCACGACCGCTAGATCATAAGTTCCTGCCAATATCAATGTTTGTGTGTCTGTCTTTGATGATGTTTGGCAGCTGGGCTCACAGCGACAAGCACTGGCATGTGACACGGGTTCCAGCCTTGCACACACTTGCGGGCAGTGGAGTATACTACGGTACATTGCCGGCGCCAGTGCAGCCCTATTGACAGATCTGAAGCGGGTTCTGCGTTGAGGGTGCGCTGATGATCGGGGCGCAGCGGCGTTTGAAATCATCAGTATGTGAGCAGCCCCCAAAAATAAGGAATGTGATGGCTACCTGGGCACTAAAAATTCCTTGAAGACAGTTGTATAAGCAAAACAGGCTTGGTGGCTATGCCAACAGACTGTGCCACATGCTGGGCCGCCGCTGGCTCTGGCCGGCCCGCAGGGGTTTTTCACCGTTTCAAGCAGAGCAGTACGCCAGCAGGAGGCGTGGCAGTTTGGAGCGTCAAGCCGGCACAGGGACCGCACAACCATAAATGCATATTTCTTTACATTTTATTCTATCAATAGCCTTCTAGAGGGCTTCCCACACGTGCGATCCACTTCGTCCAGCAAGTAAACAGCCCACGATCAGCAGTTCGGCCAGCTTCTTTCTACTTCGAAGCATTCGATTATCCTGAATATATGCCAGTACAGCCAGAAGAACAGCGCTGACTGCGCACGACCAGGCACCAGCTGTGAACCTAGTATAGAGGACGAGGAAACAAGTGGTTTGCGTGGCAACAGGTCATAAACTGTGCTTGGTTGTAGGTGCGACCTCGAGCGCCATGCGGAGCTGCTGTCGGTGCAGCATACCCTCGCTGCCCTCTCGATGCAGTGCGTGCGCGGCCGTGCGATTGTGCGGGCCGCTCATGCAAGTGCTCATTATCGCGATGATGTATTACACAGGTGGGCCTGCGCCGCGGTAGACGCGGCGAGCATCAGGCGACTGCCGCAACATGGTGGGTTTCCCGACACACGACCCCGCCGCGATGATTTCCGGCACACCCTTCCCCTTCCCGCACTGTCCAGCGCTCATGGTGAAACCTGAGCATTGTGTACAAACCGTGCGCAGGAATCCCCGTCTGGAAGCGGCCCACTACCGCCGCAGGCGCACCTGACAGCCCCAGAGTGGGGCAGCACTGCCTGGTACGCAGGGCAAGCATGCGACATCGAAGGGCGGGCAACTGCCAGCAGACGCCGCCTAGACCCGCTCTGTGATCCCATTGAGCTTGAAACGTGCCACATTGCTGCGTGTTCCGTCTATCTGACAACGGTTATTGCATCGCCCTTTTCCGCACCATCAGGGATGCTCTCGACCTCAGCCCAGAGGAGCTCACCCTCCTCAATGATTCGTTGGGCCCTAGCGAAACAGCAGCAACGCAGCAGCAGCAGCAGCAGCAGCAGCAGCAGCAGCAGCAGCAGCAGCAGCAGCAGCAGCAGCAGCAGCAGCAGCAGCAGCAGCAGCAGCAGCAGCAGCAGCAGCAGCAGCAGCAGCAGCAGCAGCAGAAATGCCAGCTGCAGTACCAGCAACTCGATCCCAACCTGCAGGAGCTGTCGATGGGCCTCTCCTCAAACGAGACCCTGGTCGTCATCTCGTGCCTGCACCGCGCCGGCGCCGGCGGGCCCCAGCCGCAGCCCCAACAGCCGCAGGCGCGCCCGCCGCGCCCCTCGCTGCCGGCGCTCGACCTCTCGCGCGCCCGCGCCGGCGGCGCGGGAACCCTGTTCGCGCACAACCTGCCGGACACGCCGGCTGCGGCCGTGGCCGAGGGCGAGAACGACGAGGCGGCGCGGCTGGACGTGTCGCAGCGGGAGCTCGAGGCGGTCATGGCGCGGCCGCTGCATGCCGGGGCCCCTGTGGTGGACAACCGGTGCTATGTTTACAAGGCCGTTACCCCGCAGGTTTGTGCACGGCTCGCACAGTGAACACAGCGGCGGCGCGCCACTTCCGATCATCACATTGTCATCATCACATTTAACTCCCTGGTGCCTTGCGCTATCCTGGCTGGCGCATGGTTTGCCGGTGCCAGCGAGGGCTCACAAAAGCTGTGCTGCTTGCACTTTGACCATGCCCTCTGCCCTCCATCACCAACCGTGCGCTGCACCCTGCTCGCTGCTGCCCGCCGCGGCCTCAAATCGCCCCCCAGGAGGCCCGCGAAGCCGAGGGCCTCATCTCGCGCGTGCCGGCCCCCGACGCCGCCCGCGTCCGCGCCATGTGGGACGCGCTGCTCGTCGCGCGCCGTGACTGCGAGGCCATGGCCGCGCGCGGCGTGCGGGTGGCGCGGGATGTCAGCAGGGACTGGCAGGAGACCGTGTCTGACCTGATTGACCGCGTCGTGGCGCAGGACAGCGAGATTTTGGCGCTCAAGGGCGACCTGAAGCAGGCGCACGCGGCCGCGGCGGCCGCGCAGGCGGCGAGCGCGGCGCCGCCCGCGGAGGAGCTGCACGGGCAGGTGGCGCGGCTGAAGCGGCACAGGGACCGGCTGGTGAGGGACAATGCGGACCTGGCCGCCGCGCTCGGCGAGGCGCAGGCGGCTGCGGGCGCGGCCGCGGCCGAGGCCGCGGCGGCGGGCAAGGCACTCGAGGGCGTGCGGGCGCACGCGGCCGCCCTGTGGCAGCAGCACACGCAGCTGCTGCGCCACCACATCAGCGCGGCGGCGTACGCAGAGCGGCTTGAGGGCGAGGCGCGCGTGGCCGCCGCCATGGCGCAGCAGGCGGCGGGCGGCTGGGGCGGAGGGGCTGGCGCCTTGGAACAGGCACCGGGTGCGCTGCAGCCGGTGCCGCCGCCGAGCACGGCGTTAGGGGCCACGCGCAGTGGCACGCCGCCGTCGTGCGGCAGTGCTTACAGCACCGTTGCTCAGTCCGCAGCAGCGGCCTCGCAGCAGGCACGGCGCGGCAGCCCACGCGGCCCCGGGGCCCGTGGCAGCCCCCGCGCGGTGAGGGGCACCCCTGTCAGCATCACGGGGGCTGTCGCCTCCCCGCGGCTGGGCTGCAGCAAGCTCGGCCTCCCGCCCGCTGTGAAGGACCGTCTCGACGGCGGCAGGCACAGTCCCGTGGAGGGTGGCGCGGTCACCGCTGCCGCTGCTGCTACGGCTGAGCACGTCTCCAGCAGCGGGGGCGAACGGTGGGTTGACCGTCCCTCGGACGAGTTTGACCACCCGGCGGACGACCAGGCGCCTGCGTTTGGCTCTGGGCTTGGCGGCAAGCCCGCGCAGCCGCAGCAGCAGCACCTGGGCCAATTCAACTGGCGGGAGGACATCGAGGCATGCAGGGCGCAGCTCAAGGCGGTCAATGCATTGTGCGGTGTGTGGTGCGGGGATGGCGCGCTGCGCGCCGTCTGATCAGCATCTGGCTGGCGGCGACTCAGGAGCATGCGATGTAGGCAGTTGAAGAGCGAGCAGCACAGAGCAGGCTAGTTGGAGTGGGTGGGATCGAGTTTGTCAGGGGATTGCGACGAAACATCCCTTTGTCAAGTTGAATAACGCATGGAATCAGCGAGGCTGGAATGGTCATGGAGGCGGAGGCGGTTTGCGCACGCAATCTGCGCAGCAGGTCGTGACTGCCGAAGCGTATCAGAGTTTTGTCGCTGCCAGTGGGCATGATCAAGTGTGTTGTGCGCCGTTGTCGACACGTGCAGTGTTCGCATCCAAGCGGGTCACCACGGCACATGAACATGACAGATCCACGGGCTTTGCACACATGGTCAACAATGTGTTGTTGCATGGTCAACGCAAACACTGTGTGTAAACAGCACATCGCCTGGAGTTCAGTTGTCAAGCGTTGAGATGGCATGCATGCAGCTGGCAGCGTCTTGCATTTCGCGGCAAAGGGCAGCCTGCTGTGGTGTGGGCCTGGTTGGTGGTGCTGTTCACACTGGGCGGAGCGCGACACTACCGAGCACCCAACCAGCGTCCCTCTCATGTGCTCTTGGCCAACCACCCCTCGCCCTACGTCGAGCTCTACTAATTGACAATTTTCTTCATAAAGACGGTCCATACACGAAGCAGGCGCAGCGGGCGTCATATCCACAGCCCGACCCCCGATCTAAGCCCTTACGCGGGCTATCACCACTTTCGCCGGTTCTCCTTGGAGTTGTGTGGTGCGATGCTGTCGCAGGGGTGGCAGGCGGCCTCTCTGCTGCTCCCGGGGCTGCAGCGTGCCACTGCAGTCTGCAGCGTGCTTGCCAGGGAGCTCTCTGGAGTTTCTGGAGCGGGGTGAGCCCATTGATTGGGTGGATGTGCGTGATGGGGGTGTTGTAGGGCCCAGATCATGTTGCGAGTAGGTCTTCAGGGCCTTGGCTTGCCTGCTGCGCTTTCCATTGTCAGCACCGAGCTGTCTAGGTGCGTCTGGGGCCCACTGCTGTCAGCATACCACATACGCCTCGCATGTGTTTGCAGGTTCATCGGCGCGCAATCGCCGCAGCAGCAGCAGGCACAGCAGCACGTTCCGCAGCAGCAGCAACACCAGCAGCAGCTCACCACAGCGCCCCCCTCGGCACTGGAGCAACGTCGCGGCTTCGCGCTGGCAATCGCGCGGAAGCTGGAGGGCCGCAGCTACAACCTGCGCAACGATGTGGTGCAGGGCCACTTCGACGGCCTCGCTGATTACCTAATCAAGGTGGTGCCAAAGTGGATCAAGTTCGGGGTGGCGGGACCGCCGCAGAGCAACGACACTCACAACGAGCTGACTGTTTACACTACGCCCGAGACACTGCTGCCGCTGGCCAGGTTGGCGAGGCAGGCGGGCGCAACAGCAGCAGCCGCGGCTTGGCTGCGCCCTGCTGCACATCAGCCCCCAGTTGGCCGCCAAGACAGCACTGGCTGCTGCCTGTTTGCGTCGCACAAGCACACACGCCGGTGCTGGCAGGCTGGCTGTGCTGCGGCCCTGTTTCCGAGCCGGCAGTGCTGGCATCGTCCAGCGACCTCGGTGACGTCAGCTCAAGCCGCCTGCTGCACCCCGGCGCCGCCGCAGGTTCCTGCGTGACCACGTAAACACGCAGTTCAAATGTCTGATCGACGTCACCGCCGTCGACTTCCCGGAGCGCCCCGCGCGCTTCGAGGTGGTATACCACCTGCTGTCCCCGCGCTGGAACAACCGCATCCGCATCAAGGTGGCCGGCGCAGCGCGTGCCCATGGCTGTGCAATAGGACGGCGGCATATTCTGACACGGCTATTCGATGGTTCGGCGCATGGGCGTGGGGGTAAGGGGCGGCAGACGAGGAAGGCATGCCAGGTCCTGTGTCATGGCACGCCACGGGACCAGCAAGCCCAGCCCGCCCGCATTCATTGCATGTCGCCCATCCCAGGTGTGCGTGGACGAGGTGACGCCGGTGCCCAGCATCTGCAGCGTGTACCCGGCCGCCAACTGGTTTGAGCGCGAGACCTGGGACATGTTTGGGGTCTTCTTCAAGGACCACCCGGTGGGTGCGGGGCGAGACGGCAGCGCTGGGCCCGGCTGCTCGGCTCGACGATTGCAGGCGGAGGGGCAGCAGTCGTGCGTTTTTCGCAGACCCTGCACTTCTTGCTCTTTTGGGGGTTGATGCGGTCGTTGCGCTGAGAAGGCCGCAAATCTAGCCGCATAGCTTGCAGCTCGACTCTCATGGTCCCCCTGTTGCACTGCGGGTTAGTACCCTCGCACCCCCCCTACCACCGCGCCCCACAGGACATGCGCCGCATCCTGACAGACTACGGCTTCACGGGCCACCCCCTGCGCAAGGACTTCCCGCTGTCGGGCTACACTGAGGTGCGCTACGACTACGCCAAGAAGCGCGTCGTCAGCGAGCCTCTGGAGCTCAGCCAGGAGTTCAGGTGCGGCTCGGGGGGCGGGTGGCTGCGGCGGGAACTAGGGGGTTCTGGGTGGACCGATGCGCAGCACCTGAGGGGCTGTCGAGTGCTCTCTTGCACGGCGCAGCCAGAGGCATCCTGCCACGCCGAGCGCGCTGTGTCCCTTGAGTCGAGCTTGCTGCGGAGCACGGCGTGCTTTGCTCAACCGCCTGCCCAGCCCTCGAATAGTCCCTGGAATAGTCAAAGCCACTGCTGTCATCACCAACCCCGCATCCTTTCCACACTTCAGGTACTTTGATTTCCAAAGCCCATGGGATACGCTGCCCCGCTAGCGGGGTTGCAGCTGAGGGTGAGCCAGGGAGATGCCCGATGCATTCGAACTGCAGAGGCTGCAACAAGCAGCAGCACAGCGCCAGCGCGCTGCTGTGAGCGGTGCTCTTGAGCAACCCCAACTAGTTACGTCTGCATGCAATAGATGTTCCCAAGTTGGCTGTTTATCTGATGGACGATTGCACGTAGCAGGTTGTAAGCTGTCTCATGGCTTCAGCTCTGCATTTGATATGGTGGCTCTTGTGACCAGCTTTCGTACGAGCCAGCCAATGGAAGAATCATCCATGTCGCCGCACGCGTGCAGACGTCCGCCCGAGAGGCTGTGTGCTTTACAATTTGTATCTTAGGAACAGGCATGGCGCACAAAGGGCATGGCAACGCTGACGCGCCGTGAACAGAATTCCAGCATCCAGCCACCCCACGAAGGGAAGGCGGGCAAACAACGGCGCCACCGGTGCCGCAAAGAAAACCCAACAGCGCGCAATCCACCCTGCGCGCCACTGCTCACATGCTGCTGTACCCCTGCAACGAGCAGAAGAGCTGCTGCGCCAGTCCTCCTGCCTTGATTCAATGGTAATTGCGGTCTCTGAAGCGAGCCACCCAGCCAAATCCGGCGCCTCTCGCAGCGTCAGTGGGGGAAAGCGATCAATCGTCGTACACACTGCAGACGCGCGGGGCATGAGCGGCATGAGCGGGCGAGTGAGGACGGGACAAGTGAAGTGTTAACATTGATATACAGTGTATGCTCAATGAAAGGGCGAGTAGGGCTGACCCTTGCGGATGAGCCTGCCGCTCTCATGCAGGCGACTGCCGGTTTGACGTGTTCAAGACACTCAGTGCCACCTTGCACCCACCGGCATTCATCAGCGTCGGGGTTCTCGCCTGCTCATACATGGTGGAATGGGGGGGGGGAGCAGCAAAAGCGTTGGAAGAGATGGCGGCTGAAGCAAGGATGGAATGGACGCGGGTAGGGACCAAACCCACACCAGCTGCCCACAACTGACTTGGGGCAGCAAACGAGGCCAAACAAGTGACCCATGTGTACTCCAGGAACAAAGTCCCCGACTCGTCCTATACGGTGGCGTTCATCCACCCTTGCAACAGCCCTGCCGCATTCGCCCCGTGCCATGCTGGCGCTGCACACCGCAGAACTGCTCGAGGGGGTCGTTGGCGTTGGTGGCGGCCTGCAGTGGTGAGGTAAGAGGAGTACCAGGCAGGATGATTACCAAGACTCAACAGGACGATAGGTGAGCTGGCTGAAAAGGGTGCCTCAGGGCGCATGGAACGACTGGGCGCATTGAATGCGCCAGCAACTGCGAGGTTGGACTGTGCCGCGCCAGCGCTCTGCGCCTCCCCCGATCAGCTCACGTCCTGGTCCTTCTTGTGAGAGATGGCAGCGCTGATCTCCTCCACCTGCACGAGAAGCGATCCTGTTGTTCTGAGTGCAAGTGGCAGGGATCGCAACACGTCCGCGGGCTGGTTCTGGGCCCATGATGCCTTGGCGTCCACCCGAGCCCGCCATAGCAATTGTTGTCCCAACTCACGTTGTCCCAGGCAGCGGCGCACTCGCCAACAGCACCACCCTCGCAGACCTCCTCTGCCTCCTTGATGGCGTCCTTCAGGATCGCCTGGGCCTGCTCCTGCGGTCATGCAGGGCCCGCAGATAGGGATAAGAGCTCCAGAAGACTTCAGAAAGGGGGCGGGACGACCGGCAGACGCCTCGTTGATGCTCCCGGGAGAGGACTTTGTGCAAGAGCTGACCCTTGCCACGCGTCGTGTGCAACCCACCGCCCCCACCATGGTCCGGCGCAAAAAACTTACCGGCTGAGCACTCATGCGCACGACGCGCATGGTGGGGCGCGCAGCGATGCGCACACCGGACTTGGCCACGGGCCGGACAGTCGAAACGCGAGCACACAGCATCCTGGCTGCTTGAGAGCTGTTGAAGACGTGTTTAATCTGCGGGTGAAAATGTGGTAGTTCCGAAACAGGCCTTGCTTTTGAACTCGGCCTGCAGAAGCTGGCACTCGGGTTCCTCCTCGAACGCAAACCTGTTCCTAATCCCCCGGGGTCATCAGCGAGCACACATGGATGGTGTTCACATACGACGGAATTTTGTACATCAACAGCACTCGTCACAGTCACGATGCATCACATGTCGCTCAAGGGCGATTGCGCTGTGTGGTCCATGCACAGGTCAAAGCCCCTGCATCAGCGGCTGTAATGCATGCACGCTGCGCGAAGCAGCAGGGATGACACAGCGAGGCGGGATAGGGCGACCTTATCTACATCTTGAGCAAAACGCTGCCCACGTGCACAAGTGCGTTTGATAATACGCATGTGACGCGGCATAACAGGGGCACGGAGAGACGGAACCCGCTAATTGTAGGCAAATGATACACACTGACATACACACCACGCAGAATGATACGCCACCAAGTTGCACACTGAGCTGACTTCAATTTTCAGTGTATTGGCATCTTTTGGTGTCGGGCAAATCAGTCGAAGCGCGAAGCCAGCCCTGCTGTTCAAGCATGAACGACGCCTTCTGGGGACGCTTGCTGAGCAAGCAGTTTCATCCCCCCAACCCCCCCTCGGCCTTGAGGCGCTCTATGTGTGGCCCAAGCTCCGCGGCCACGCGCTCGTACACCTCCCGCTTGAATGAGATCACCCTGGACGGCAGCTCAGCAAGTGGCATCCACTGCCAGTCCTTGAACTCACGATGCTCTGTTTCCAGGTCGACCTCGGCGTCGTCGCCAGTAAAAGCAAACAGGAACCAGCGCTGCGCCTGCCCGCGGTAGCGGGCCCACGCGCCGGTGAAACGGCTGCGCACCTGAAGGAGCAGATGAGGACCAAGGCGGCAGGCAGTAGGGGCGTGAGGGTGCTGAATCAATCCCAGTCCATGCAAACGTGGGAGTGTGCGTGCTATGAGTTTCATGATGCCGCGTGGCAGCTGAGGTTGACCGCCGCCCTTCACAGGGCCAGCCAGCTCTACCCGGCCACTCCCAACTCACTAGCAAGAACCCCGCACCTCGGTTGGAAACTCGTAGGCCACCCAGTCATCCAGCTGCGCCACCAGCCGGACGCTGCTGATGCTGACTTCCTCCTTCAGCTCCTGCAAATATGGCCAGAGTTCGCGAGCATGGAGGTGTGCCCGGGGTGTTTGTGCTGCCGCAGGCATTGGCGCTGCGACTGATGCATAGCAGGGCAAGGCCGGACGGCAATAAGTCACATCTGCCCTTGCACTGCACTTTGGGACGTGAAAGGTGCGGGTCCCTTCGAGATGCGTGCCGCACGCCCTCAAAACGCAGCACGGGTGTGCACGCACCCGCACGGCCGCCTCCAGCGGGGCCTCCCCGGGGTCGATGCCGCCCTGGGGCATCTGCCAGCTGTCAGGGAACGGGTCGTCCAGGCGGCGCGCCGCAAACACCTGCGTGGTGTGGCGGGGTGGCTGGAGCGCCCGCGTGGCCACCTGCCGCGCTTCGTCCAGGTGGAAAAACGAGCTGCGTGAAAACTAGAAGCGCACCAGCCCCTTCTTGTTGACGACGCAGATGCCGACGTTGGGCCTGAAATCGCGAAGCTCGTCAGGGAGCACAAGCTCCGCACCCTTCGCAGGCAGCACGCGCACTCGTGGTGCATGTCGATGTGTGCTGCGACTGCTGGTGCTGCTGCGTCTGTGCCCCCATGTCGCCGAACGTCGCAGGATCGAACGCATTGTTTCTCGATAACAACATTTGCAACGTTGCCGACCAAAGTTCACACAAATACGAGCTCGCGCGGCGGGAGTTACCCCACTTTCCGGTACCACACCTTGCCCCACCGCGCATTCATCAGCGCGTCACGCTATCCAATCAATATCCGATTCGAATTTTATCATCATCGCCGGATCGATAGCTGGTCTGCTGTGCTCCTGAACTGTAGTAGACCGCAGCTCGAGCAGCGTCGTCCGACTCAAGCGGGGGCTGCTTGCGCCCACCAATTCAATCATAATGCAGATGAACAGGACGTCGGCCCAGTGCCGCACTTTCCGGGGGCCAGGGCGCGCCTCACGGAGGAGTGCAGTGGTCTTTAGCGCGGCGTCGGAGCAACCCACGCTCTGGACGCCGCCGGCCGCCGGCGTCGCCCAGCCGGGGCCCATCCAGCTGGGCCGGCCCGGCGAGCCTGGCGGGCCGACCCGCCGCGGCTTGATGCAGAGCCTGCTGTTGGGCGGCGCCATCGCTGCTTGCCCCTGCTGCGTCGGCGATGCACAGGCGTCCGGCAACGCCAAGTTTGACTACGGCACTCTGTCCGGCCCCATCAGCTGGGGCGGCACCTGCAGCAGCGGCCTGCGCCAGTCGCCCATCAACATCCCGGCCAAGGCGATCAGGACCTCCACCACGACGCGCGCGGCTGCGGCCTGCAGGCCCGCGCAGGTAGACGTGCGCGGCTACAAGCCCGTCAAGCCCATGATCCTCAACACAGGCGTCGGCACCATGCAGGTGCGCGCACGGGCAACGCCCACGCGCGGGCCGCAGGTGGCTCGCTGCTCGCGCGCCCGCGCGCACCAATGGGGTATCAAACTATGCAATGTGCGACGGCCTGCAAGCGCCTTCAAATCCCCGTGCGCACCGTCGATGCTAGCGCATGGGTTCGCCACCTATTCTGGAAGCTTGTCCGCACACTTCTGGATGCTGTGCGGCAGTACAGCGGCACACCGCTGTAATACCAATTAGCTCCCGATTTCTTACCCTGCATGAAACCCCCCGGCGCCCGGACCCACCACCTAACCATCCCCCATCCGTCATCCTGCTCTGGGCACGTCGTCCTGCCTTGTCGCTCTCACAAGTCAGCGCCTCATCAATCGCACATCGCACCACCCAACCCGCCGCAGAGCACCACAATCCCAGCACCCCTGCGCACACAGCCCCCTGCCAACCACC